ATATGTTATTTCCGAAAACAGTGGTCGCTGCTAACTAGCGGTAAGCACTTACTGACAGAGGCCTGTACCCGCACAAATAGCGCACAGGTCGACGATGCTTATGCCGGGTGGAGGTATGCCGGTGACGGAACGCAGGTGGGCTGGAGTGCCGACCCCGAAAGAACTCCGATTGCGAGACTTGGCCGTTGCGACGCTGCTGCTCGGGTAGCCGCGACTGACGTTGCCGTGAGGTAAGGCGGCGACCAGAGGGTGAGCGGTGATCGCCGGGTGCGGAATACCGGACCGCATCCCCGTCCCATTGCAGGCGGTGCAGCGCACGGAACCGGACCCTCGACAGTGAAAACAAAGGTTAGAACCCGTGCCGTTGCAAGAACTACAAACCTAAATCGAACAAGAGATGCATGCTAAAAAAAGGTGCGCAAGGGACAAAAAAAGTAAGGGGAGGAATGACTAATTTGGAAGCGAAAACTTCTGAATAACGGTCAGTAGAACGAATAACTGACGGAACATGGATCTTATGCTGCCAACTATGTAATCAACTATACTGTTATATCCCTGAAGGTAAATAAATAGGTCGCTTTAAATTGAACAACAGTGTTTTTCCGTTTATTTGCGTGTTAATCTTTAACAAGAGTCTCTGCTGGAATGAACTGCGACCACATTTTTCGGTTTTTGATAAAATCTTCGATCACTTGTCGCATATCCACATCATTTTTTGAGACATCCCTCCACCTTCTCTTTCATCTTCGATCTTCGCCTACTTTTCTTCCCAGGCAGTATCAGTGCTTTGAACACTTTTTTAACGCACTCATCAGAAACTTTTTTTTACGCGACCGAACCACTGGAGCCTGTTTTTCGAGTAGCATGTCTGAAATTATTGTTCCACTTAAAGTGTCTCATATGAATACCCTGAATGTAGTCGCCTCTGATGACAACACACATATATCTCTGCGTTTGAACTTCTACAGAGTATAGCCGTTGTTCCTATTTCTTCGGGAAAGCCAAACATTCGTAAACCATTCCCTTGAATTTGATAAACATCTTATCACATAGCACACCGTCACCCCTCTACATTTTGAAGGA